TTATAACATAGAAAACGGGAAAGGGAATGACACGAAAGTGTCATTCTCTCTCCCAGCGGAAAGCGAAACGCAGGCTTGGACGCAGGAATCTCCCCAATCCACCCGAAGCCGGACCTCTTTGGCCTTCCAGCCGAGGTGACGGCGGTAGCGAGGTCAACGAGCCGCGGGAGAAAGCCAGTGGCAGGTGGCGTGTGACGTCAAATCTGACGAGCACCGACGTCAAAGAAAAGTGGAGGACAGCAGCATTTTTTGACTAAGGAATTTATGACTGGGCACTTAAAAACACACACAAAAAAAAAAATTAAAATTTAATTTTCTTAAGTTCTAGGAAGTAAAGTAACGTAACGTAATTTTGTTACACGTTACTCAAAATAAGTAACGTAAGTACGTTACCCGTCACTTCTTTGGAAAAGGAACGAGTACGTTACTACGTTACCAAAAAAAGTAACGCGTTACCGGTAACGCCGTTACTTGTAACGCGTTACCGCCAACACTGCGCCAAAGCAGCCGCCGACATAATCCTGGAAGCCGCCATTTTTTTTAACTCTGCTCGTCTTGGCTTTAGCCAAATTCTCATCACGAATCCTCCTTGAAGAAGCGCAAAAACTCTTTGCGTACGCACGCTATTTCCGAGAAATAGCGCACGCTAAATTGCGCACGCAAAGTGCAAAACCTGGTTTGCGTTCGGAACATGCACAGTGGCGACGACACTATTCTTTGCGTACTTAAAGCTTTAGCGTGCGCTATTCTGAAACTCTCTGCTATGAAGAAAAAAAAAGGACGAACGGAAGTATTTGGTAGCCCAAGGTTTGTTTCGCCTTCGAGAAGCGAGATGGTGTCGCTTTTTAACGGATGTCTCTTTTTGTCAAAAAGATTTTTTTTCTTAACTTTACTGTGACGGATGCTAGTTCCGTCCAGCGATATGCTTATGCAGGATTTTGAGATGGGATGGGTGAATAGATGGGATGATAAGTGGAAAACCCACCGTTTTAGGAAATCGATGCTTCAGAAGTCTTAGCGGCAAGATACGGCCTTGCCTGGGCATTGCGTGCTCGAGCGCAAGTAGTTGCCCCTCAAGCAGAGAAGCTAGATGCTCCACTGAGCTTAGTGACTTAAATTTAGTTCCCCTAACGTCTCCACTTTTATGCGCAAGATTGCTATTCTAAACGTTAGATCAGGCGTCGTGACCTTTTCCCAAATACCTAATGTAGTTCACCAGTTTTGGTCAAAAGTAACGAGCAACGTAATTTGATAGCCGATACCGTAAAAAAGTAACGAAAATACTTTACTCGTTAGTCATTCAGAATACTAACGGGTAGGTTACTGCGTTAGCGAAAAATGTAACGCGTTACCAGTAACGTCGTTACTAGTAACGCGTTACCACATACACTGGCTAGGAGTGCCCCGTCATCAGCTGCTTGCACGCCGGGTGCGTGCAGTGCGTGATTCTGGCGGCCCAAATGTGTGTCTCTGTTCTTTTCGGCAGCCTTTAGTGCTGGTAATTGCGTGCTGTCAGCGTTGTACTTTACCCCGCCTGCACCGTTCTGCGATGGCTTCCGTAGGCGACCGTGTAGAAAGCTCCACGACCGCGAAATCACGCCGAAACGAAGATGTCGCTTTCGACTTGCAAACGCGTTTGTTTTTGTTCCTGTATAAATGGAAATAATTTTTAAAAGAAGTTGGCTGTTCGCAGAATTGATTTAAGTTCGTAGGCACGTATGCCCGCGGGATAGCTTCCGTAGCCTGAACGGAATGCGCATGACCGCCTGCACTGGAAACATCGGACAAATAAAATCCGCAGCGGGAGACCACAGGAACAGCATGGACGGGTGGTGCGGCCAGCCAATCATAGGACACTGCCGGCAATTTGTTTTTTGACCTACTATGCTCGCTTCTAGCAAACTAAACGATTCTCAAAAGAGAGGGAGAGAGAGAAAGGCTTGCAGACGAGAAAATAGTAACGTGTATGCCATAGACAGAGGTCAGACGTTCATCATTAGTCGGGGGAAGAGGGTAGCAGTTGATAAATAAGAGAAAAGAAGCCAAATTCAACATTGGCGCTTTTATAAGGGGTATGCAAAAGTTGTCGGAGAAAGATAATACCGCAGAGCCCAGTTCACCGTCACCCCTCGTCTCCCTTTGGTGCCGTGCCTGAGGCTCGCGCTGAGTGCAAGGAGATCCACAGAGGCTATCTGCCCTGATCCGTCTTTTTGTACGCGCCGTTGTGGCCAGCTTGTAATTCAGATGCCTTTGTAAGGCTGGGCGTATATGCAGCATTGGTAGAAATAGGGGAAGTGTTCTCTGGCATTCTAGATAGGCATCGTATATTTTGCATGACGCGTCATTTTTCTGCTTGCCATTGGCGCATTCGAGAGGGTTCCGTAGAATTTAGGCTTTCATAACACTAGCATTCATGCAGCGATGGTATCCTTGATAAGGACACACTCCTGTCATAGCAGAATTTCCTAATTTGAATGCAGTTGCCAAAGCCCATACAGCAGCTGTGAGTGCTGCCTGTGAAGCTTTGGCAATTAGTCTGATGTCAATCAAGGTGACTGAAATTTCTCCATGTGCTTCACTTTTAGTGCAAGATGGGTATAAAAATTTGACGTCAATCAAACAAAACAAAAATATTCTTAGGCCGTCGTGGCAGTGGAATATTGCCGCAGCCGTCGGGCCAACGCAGCACACCTGAACGAAGGACTCCGCACGCTTGACCCCCAGCGCATAGCTCTTCCGAAAAATCAATATTTTAGGCTATATGCAGCCAACGCTAAAGCCGGTGCCTTCTATTTAGTGGTCTGTAGTCCGGAAGAACGTGGGAAAAAAAGTTAACCTATTGGATTGTGAGAATGTCTGTGGTGATTTTTTTTCCGGTTTTCATGGTACAAAATTTAAAGGGGTGTGCCGAAGCGGTGGCAACGAGTTCATTGAACGACAAAGCGGAGCGAGGGGTGGCCGCGCTGTGTTTTGGAAGCTGTACGTGCAGCCACTCACGACCACGGTGCCGGCCCCTAGCAATGCGGTGTCTATGAAAAGTTGGTGATGAAACGTACCTTCGATTACATGGACCCGCGCCGAAGTGGGATGTTTCGGCCGCTACGCTACCTATACGATACTAACACTTCTTATGAGTAGTGAATGCGAAAGCATGAATATCGTTCTTCAGCTCCCTTAAGCGCGATCCAAACCAACGCTTCTTTTTGCGCCTGTAGGTCGTGCGGCTGCGGATGTGACGTATTTTCGTGACGTCGCGCCGCTTCTTCGCTCCTTCCGGGCGCGCACAAGAAAGTTGGTTGATTTCAACTTCTTTCTCAACGCGCACAAAAACGCGCGGTGACGTAGAAGGGCGCTCCTGTGTCCCGGCCAATCGGTGGAGGGCAAGCTATAGACATTTTCCACAGGGGCGCCGCCATCTTGAAGTGTCGTCACTTCCAGTATGGGCGACGACAAAATAGTAAAACGTTTCAACCTGTAACTAGTAAAAAAATAGAGGGGAGCCAAAACGAGAATGTGTGACGGTTAGGCTTATATCCTAAATGTCTTCTATTGGTGTGGTGACGGCAAAGTAATGTTTTCGCCCATACTGGAAGTGACGACAATTCAAGATGGCGGCGCCCTTGTGGAAAAGGTCTATAGTCGGTTACAAGTCAAGAAGGTAGGAGAAGCTCCTCCCACAAGCGTGATGCGCCCGTTTCAAATCTCTCCGCAGTCGAAAGAAGAGTTCACTGGAAACCCTCCTTGTTCCGCTTCAGTGGATTCCAACTTGTTTCCGATCCCACTTTTTAAGAAGGGGACCTTTGTATTTATTGCAGGGGGAACCGAGCCCCTGAAAGCAGCCTTTGTATTTATCGGAGGGGGAAGCAATCCCCGAAAGTCGTATTTGTTTCCATCGGAGGGGCAAAACTCTAATCTCCCTCTCGTGGCTTCCACAATGCTAAGTCAAAGTCGAAAGATAAAACAAATATGTACAGAAAGGAAAGACCCTCCTCGCGCGTTGGCCGCGACGTCACGGAAACAATGGGACGCTATTGGATGCGAAGGTGGCGGAGGGATATATGATTTCCTTTGAGGGGCATTTGCCGCTACCTTCTTGACTTGTAACTGACTATAGTTCCGGCTCCGCGTTTCTCGCCGTCTAGCTGCCCTCTCCTCCCCCCCTTTTATTCTCTTCCAACATGACAACGCGATCTCTCTCTCTCTCTCTCTCTCTCTTTCTCTCGCCGTCTGGCCGGCCAGTCTGTCGCAGTTGCACCTTGCTTGTGCGCTCGTGCCTGCGTGCGCGCTCGCCCGAAGTTTCGCCCGTCCAAACCAAAGCGCACGGTTCTGACTCAGAAAGCGCGCCCGGAAACAGCAAAAACGCCACGAAATGCGTCACATCCGCAGCCGCACGACCTGCAGGCGCAAAAAGAAGCGTTGGTTTGGATCGCGCTTTACTTCGTCTGCGCTGTAGTGGCGTGGACGGCCCCGTTTCGCTACTGCCGAGGTAAAGAGCTGTTTATACTCCAACGTAACGTCGACGGGCGCGCGCGCCCAACCGCGTTGCCTGACGTTGCTACGAAAGGACAGTTTATACTCTGACGACAGGTGGAACGCCTCGCAACGCGCCCCGGCGCGCGCCAGCGAAGCTCACGTCGAGGCGGGCTGTTTATACTCCAACGTAACGTCGACGGGCGCGCGCTCCCGAGCGCGTTGCGTGACGTAGCTGCGAAAGGAGAGTTTATACTCGGAACACAAGTGGACCGCCTCGTAACGTAACGCGCCTCGGCGCGCGCCGGCGAAGCTCACGTCGAGGTAGGTGCTGCTCGAATCTCGGCGTCGGCCGACGACGGTCGTCACCCAGAATTCCTCGCGCGAGCGTCAGTTGGAAAGAAAAATGGCGAACGGAGGTGCCGCGGAGTGCGAACCGAGCGATCTGACGACGGACGAGGTTGAGCGGCTCATTGAAGCGGTGAGAGAGCGCGAGTGTCTTTATGACGTCGGTTCTCTAGAGCGAAAAAAGAATGCCTGGGAGTCCGTGCGCATTGCCTGCGGCATGAAGTCCGGTAAGTTGACTGGGGTGATTTCATGTCCGCTTTGCTTGGCGTGACGACATCTGGCCATTTTGTTTCGAACGCTTTTTTGTGTGTGTGTGTGTGTGTGTGTGTGTTGAAGCGCGCAAAAGAGCGTGTCCCTGCACGCGCGCGTGGCGCTGACTGTGCTACGGCCACGGTGTAGCTACGGCGACATTTTGCTTCCTGCGATTTCTTTGTATTTTCCCTGTGAGCGCGTGCTGTCGCCATCGGGTACTACAAACGATGGCATCATCCAAACAGAAAGACATTGAGGCGCTCTAGTTATTTAGGACTTCAAACAGAAAAGCAGTGCAAGCGGCTTACCTGACATGGCAACTTGTTCAGCATTTTATTTTTGTATCACATCTGCATTTGGCAGAACTGAATTCGACATATTTATTTCAGGTGACGACGCACAAAAAGCGTGGAAGCGTGTACGCGACAGGTATGTTCGGGAGGTCCGCGCCATTGAAGCTGCCACAAGGAGTGGCAGTGGCTTCGTCCGGAAAAAACAATGGGCCTTCCTGGAAATGATGTCGTTTTACGATAAACATATCCGACCCAGGAAGTATGTAAACAAAACATGAGTCCTTATTTGCTGTCTAACTAAATTTCTCTCCCATATGTTAATCCCACTTGCAGTCATGTCGTATTGCACCTGAGACTGCGGTGGAAGAAATCGGAAGGACTTTCAATAGAAGGAACAGACACAGAGAACGTCTCAATAGACGTTCTCTGTGTCTGTTCCTTCTACTGAAAGTTCTTCCGATTTCTTCCACCGCAGTCTCAGGTGCAATACGACATGATTAGCTACCACCAGCTCGCCTGCACTCTCACCGTCTTCCCACTTGCAGGGCAACCACCAACGTAAAGGCACCACCTGTGGGCGACACAGCACAGTGTCTATTAATGGAAATGGTGGAATCTTCTCCTGACGACTCGACCATTCCCACTGACTTCGAGCCTGCCCAAGAAGAGCTGCAGTGCAGCCCCGAGGCTCCTGTCCCAGCCACGCCGTCCACCTCGGTTGTATCAACATCAAGCCCCTCGAGGAGGTCATCAGGCCAGTCATAAAGGTGCCCAGGACCCCCCCATTCTGCACGTAGAAGGGAGGTTGACACAATGGAGAGAGAACTTCTAAATCATTTAAGGGCTAAAATGACACAGAACGAGGCGTTTGCCTACTCTGTAGCACAATCTCTAGATCGTTGGGACGAGGTCACCAGTGCCCAATTCAGGGCTAGTGTTATGCAGATTGTGTATGAGTATGAATGTAAATTTCAGCAGAAATAAAACGCCCCCGACCTTTGTGCATCTGAAGGCACACGTGTCCACTCATGTTTTGATAATATACACATTCTGTTAATATGAACTACATTTTCGAAGAGTAATCTCTGCTTATGCAATTCTACTACATCGTTAGAAAAAAAAAAAAAACATAATCTGTGAAGCAGTCTATGTTAATCTGAATATTATTAACTCTCTAGTTCAATGCTTCAGAATTTGTTCTTGGAGGCAAGCTGCAGGGATGCCTATCACATAAAATAGCTTGAAAGAACACCTACAGACATTTTTCAAATTTACCCCAAGCGTCAAGGAAGTGGCTTGGAATGTAGGTACACACGAGTGTGGACGATACCTTGCGCAGCGAGTGTACCTACAAACCCGGCATGATCTTTGGTGCTTGTGTAAATTAGCAAAATGTCTAGTGCACATAATAGCATCATCTGCTACTCAGACACACAGCCTGCGCTAATACCGTTAATGAAACATGCTTTCTACCCATTACATTCGCTTCGTGGGTGGCACGCATTGCTCGAAACCTGTTTATATTTCCGAGGAAATGCAAGTAGAAAAGCAGGCTTATCGAAAGTACATATAGAATGTTATTTTACTCCTTTGTTGTGTAAATGAAAAGATTAAACCCGACTTTTGTAATTAATACGCAAGCTGTCCTATTTTCCAAGTGAGCCACTACTACATTCCTGCGGGTTCACTTAATAAGAAGCCAATCATTTGGTATGCGTGCCTGTATCTCAGTGGCAAGCGAAAAACATGGATGGCCAATATTCCTCGCTTGTGCCAATTACCTCGCTCTCCCCTGTACAACGAAATTCACCAAGGTAGGCAGGTAAGCTCTTTGAAGGTGAAAACAACGAGGGATTGCGAAATATATTTTGCCGGTCAACCCTGTTAAGCAAGCAGAGCAGAGAAAATATATAGAATTTATTTGCAAGGAAAGAAAAAAATTGAACAGCATTGATAACAACCTTGTGTCGTCGTCTACTCCCTCGTCACTATGTCGTGTTGCCACGGGATGGCTCCCCTAGGGGAGATGAAGTGGTCTGCCAGCTGGTCCCTGATGCTGATTGCTGCCGGGCTGCTGTTGCCACCTAGGCTCCTGTTTACACCAACATTCAAAATGTCAGCTCGCCACTGACCATCCACACGGGCACCCCTCCTTTCACTGTCAGCATATCCAGGAGGGCGGTAGGCTTCATCCCTTGTTAGGAAGTTGTGGAAGCAGACTCCCGCTTTTATCATATTTTCACAGTGCTCAACAGTGCCATGCATGGGAGCCAGAAACGCCCGCCAGCGAGACACAAGTATTCCGAAGGCGTTTTCTACTGTACACCTGCCCCGGGAGAGCCTGTAGTTGAAGACCTTTTTTCGGTAGTCCAAGCCTCTTCCGGGGAAAGGGCGCATGAGGTACGTTTTCAACGGGAAGGCTTCATCCCCCAGGAGGCACAGAGGTGGTGCAGGCTCTGCGATTACAGGGATCTGTAGGGTGTTGGCAGCTAACGCCTTTCCGAGGTTAGACTCTCTCAACACACCGCCATCGGACTGGTGTCCGGCAGCCCCAATGTCCACCAGTCGAAACCTGTAGTGGGCATCAACAACAGCGAGCAGCACCATCGAGTAGAATTTCTTGTAGTTGTGAAATATTGAGCCAGAGTTTGGTGGGCACCTGATCGCAAAGTGCTTGCCATCTATTGATCCAATGGCGTTAGGAAAGTTCCACTTGACGCAGAACTCCCTCCGGATCTCTTCCCACTGTTGTGATGTGGGTGGCTGCAGCACTAACGGGGAGAGGCAGTCCCAGATGGCTGGCAGCGTTTCCTGGAGGATCCCCGATAATGTTGCTTTATGCATCCGGTAACTTATGGCCATATGACCCAGGGATCCTGGTGATGCAAGGAACCTAGAAATGTGAAAAACAAAATTGTGAGACTTAGTACCTAACTCAGAGCAACTGTTTAGTCAGTCATTTGCACTGTTTGTGACTAAGAACGACCTACGAGAGTGCTCCGTCAGACTTATATTGCTATACACGCAATATGTAAATATGTACTAAATGTGTTTGACTGACGCTCTACGGTGTTTTGAAATAGTTTCTACTCTAAAACCGCCCGCAAAAATCAAGGGATTGGCGCATGAAGTGGAAATTGATCTCGAATATGAGTTTTACTGTGCTGATTTCCTCATTAAAAATTTCAGTCTCAATTTAAAGTGCAAAAAAAAAAATGAATGACGATGTTGTCAAGTGGGTCAGCCTTTCTATTTCGTAAAATATGTGTTTGATGTAGTAAGTGTTACAATGATATGTTGATCCGCTTATTTATGAGTGTCTCAAAATAAAGTTACAAGGTAGTACTAATGGCCCGTCGAACATCAGCAACTGAACCTATCAAGTTGAAACTTACCTCGAATACATACCTCACTAGTCCCCTTTACATATTACAAATTCAAGTCTCTATTTAAAGTACGAAAAACTTAAAAAGAAAACTTTCCCATTTTAAGCTTTTTTTTCGTTCTAGGAGTTCAGACTTAAAATATGAATGCGTGCTGTACATCCAACCAGTAAAGGAAGCATTTGAGGTAAGTTTCTACTTGAAACGTTGCGTCCCTGATTTTTGCTGGCGATTTAAGAGCCCAAACTTTATTTTGAAACGCACTGTCAAGATTGGGCCTCTCAATTAAAATATCGGAGTAGATGAAAGCGCATAAGTTCCCGGTTTGAGGAATTTTAATACGAGTTGGGCGTGTGTACGGCGGTAGTACACCGCCTAGAAGCATAACCTAATCAGTCAAGCATCCGCGAAAATGAAGTGTATATCAAATATGTAGTACATAGAGTGCCTCAATGTACTTCTGTTTTGGGGGATGCCACCGTTTGTAGTGCCCGATGCCGACAGCACGCGCTCACAGGGAAAATACAAAGAAATCGCAAGAAACCAAATGTTGCCTTAGCATAGTCACGCCAGCAGCGCGTGCAGGGACACGCTCTTTCACGCTTTCAGAACAAAAAAAATTAAGCGTTCGAAACAAAATGGTAAAATGCCATCACCCCAAGCAAAGTGCACATGAAGGCACCCTAGTAGTACGTATACCTCAGTGTGATGGCCAGCCGCTCAGCGGGCGAGATGGGAGAGCGATGTGTGGGCGAGTGTACAAGACGGTCGTGGACGAGTCCGAGCAGCTCGTCGAATGAAGCCTTCGTCATCCTGCAGAAAAGGAAACGACAGAATTGATTCACTATGATAAGCGACATGACTATCGACCGTCGCCTTACCTGAAATATTGGAAGTGGTATTCTGGGTCGGACTCGCGCAGCTCCTGTACTAGACGGTAAAATTCTCCAAACACTGTGCGCTTATCAAATATGTCTCGTACGTACATCGTGCGTGTTCTCTGGCGCCGTATTCGGCGCCATAAAAGCACCGCTGCAATTTTTTTCTTTTTTTGCTGATCTAAATACATCGCGAATCGGCTCTCCATGGTTCCTCCCGTCTGAACAAGTCAGGACAGAATGCAAACGGAAACGGAAATAAACCATCAGCTTATGTCGCGGTTGTCATGGCGACGCGCAGGCGCAACGCGAAGTGCGCGTCGGAGCGCGCTGGACCGCGATGGAGTATAAATGCCGTTGACCGCAACCCTTTCAGCGCAGCGCGTCGTGTCGTTGTTGACGACGAACGCCGGCGCACGTCACGTTCGTCGACGTCGGAGTATAAACAGCCCTTAACGGCCGAGCGCGCGCTCTCACGAAGTGGCCGCGCTGAGCTCGGTCGTGTAGCCTCTCCGGAGTTTGCCCGTGCCGGCTCTGCTCCCTCTTACCGGCGGCCGAGCCGCCGCGTGCGCTGTCGCAACTCCAACGCCCTATAGGTGGCGGGGCGGTAGTTCCAAGATGGCGGAAGAGACGGGGATGGATTCTCCAGGATAACCCGTGTGTCTGCTCACTGACGCTGTTCAGCGCGCTAAAAATAATTTATTTGTCTACAAATGCGAAGCGGTTAGGGAGCGATCATATTACAGGTGACAGAGATGCCGATGCACGTTAGGAAAACGAGCATGTTGTTATTCAAAAGTTCCAGAAACCTCAAATTGCGAAGCTTTGTGGTGATGCGAGCGCGTTTTAGGCACCGGCCACGTTACTGTTTGTGGCAGAATATTTTTGAGGGTGATGATATGTTTGCGCTTTGCCTGGCCATTAGTGCTCTAAAAAGAGAGCCGCGAACGGTGACCGTCAAGCTTCGGAAGAGCAGCAATACACAGTATTGGTGTCTTCGCGTCACAGCCTCACAACTCGATGCTGACCGTCTCGGTTTTAGTGTATTGCAACACGTCATCAAACTGCTCTATGGTTATTGATAAAAAGTTTGTTACCGCAGGCTACCGTGCGGTGTAGCACTACAACCGCAAGCTCGCGCTGCGCCTTTGAAGCAAAATTTTCAGTGTGCGCCTGGAGCGTTGCCGTGCTCATCACTCAAAAAAAAAATGTTCTAGCCCTTACACCCCTTCTCACATATACGACACTCCAAAACTTCAGTTCGCCGTGCAGCCCACTGACGTAAAACTGACGGCCCCAACTTTTACGAGAGGCTTGATGACGCCGCAATATGAGATACTAAACAGCTAAAGTACGCATCAAAGAGTACCGAAAAAAAATGCAGAGGTTTTGCAGTAGGATTAAAAAAAAACTATTACTTTTTTGCAGTCATTTACACTTACTTAAGCTATTTTAATAAGTTGCACAACTCGGCTATCAAGCCGCTCATGAAAGTTGGTAGCGTCGGTTGAACGTCAGTGCGCTGTACGTCCAACTAAAGTTTAGGGGTGTCGCACGCCATGCAAAAACTGCCTATTAACATAATCGACGTGTTTAGGGGTTTTATTTATTGCTCTATTAAAATAAATATTTTAATATACCGTACAATTTTGTAC